TTTTGGAAATTACTGGAAATATTTTGCATCAAAAAGCTAAAAAGAACAGATTTAACAATATAAACAACAATTCTTGCAGATCCCAAAAATCATAAAAAGTCAAAATTCTGAAAATTATTTCAAAATAAATAACTTAAAATTTTTAAAATCCAAGTATTACAGTAGGTGATAAAAATCTTAAATTTTAAATGTTTTCATTGACATTTTTTTCGAAAATATAAATTTTAAAGATTTTAACAAAAATTTCCCTACTAAAATATTAAAAATTTCTGCACATTTTGGACAAAAACTGAAAATACTTTGAATCAAAAAAGCGAAAAATAACAAGTAGTCTAAAAATATAAACGAAAATTTTTATGGATCCCAAACATCACGAAATCTAATTCTTGACATTTTGTGAACAAAATATAAATTTTAAATGTTTGACTAAAATTTCGCCACAAAATTTTAAGTGATGTGCCGACCTGCAGAATATTAAATTTCTATCCGAAAGAAGATTACACATATAAAGAAAAAAAAGGGAAAAATATAAGCCCCGCCCACCCACCCGATCTCCATTGTGATGAATTTTTCATTCGTTGGCAGACTGAGAGGCGGATTGTAATTGCAAAATCCACATTTCTATACGAAAACATAAGCCCCGCCCACCCACCCGATCTCAATTGTGATGAATTTTTCATTCGTTGTTAGACTGAGAGGCCGAGCGTAATGGCAAAATCCAGATTTTCCTACAAAAATTTATCATTTTGAACACCAAATTTTATGTTTTGGTAATTTCACCTCATCTAAAAATATTCAGAATTACCTATGTAGTTATAAATAATTTTAGAGTATAGTCCTTAAAGAACTGTGCATACTATTTTCTTAAAGAGTATGGCATTTGCCAAAATCAGTTTTACCTCAGAAAGTACTAGCCCCGCCCACCCACCCCTATTTTCTCACAGGATTATGTCATTTGCCAAAATCAGTCTTATCTTAGCAAATACTAGTATTTTGGCAAATGATATACCTTTTAAGAAAATAGAGGGTGGATGAACGGGACTAGTACTTGCTATGATAAGATTTATGTTAGCAAATGACATATCCTCTGAGAAAATAGAGGGCGCGTGGGCGGGGCTAGTACTTGCTAAGATAACACTTATTTTGGCAAATGACATACGCTCTAAGAAAACAGAGGGCGGGTGGACGGGGCTAATCCTTGTTAAGATAAGACTAATTTTGGCAAATGACATATCTTCTGAGAAAATAGGGGGCAAATCTAAAAAATATTAATACAATGATAAATCACAAGTGAAAACTCATCATATTTTTCACATTTTGGGTAGAATTTATTCGGCAAAATTTTGACATGATTTCAGAAATTAAACAATCGTCAATGTGACCCAGTGGCGTAACTAAAATAATTATCAAAATAATAGCCACTTACTCAAAAAATTTCAGAATGTTTTGCTCCATTGTATCTTAATTGAAGTCAGCCTTTTCCTCTGTTTTCAGGAGACAAAATCAATAAAATTTTATTTTAACACTAAATCATACTGTTTATCTGGCGCCGCTTATTCTGGTTGACCAGCTTTTATACGTGCTTAATAGTCGAATTCTTTCGATGTATTATGGACATAAAAAGTTGAATTAAGTCGAAATCTGACATGGTTGAGAGTGACATTTAATTTCAATCAAAATTTGTTGATTTATTATTAAAATATTATAACTTAACCTTTTTGACTAAGAAGACTAAGCAAAAAAATCTGAGTTAAAAAGTTATACATATTGAACTACTGGCCCACCCCCAAAGTGATGACGTCATCTTAAAATTTAATCGAATATTATTTAAATTTTATAAAATAACACACTCTTGCATTTGTAGTTTATGAATCCGTGATGAGTTTGTACCCTACACATTCAGTTTTTTGGAAAAAGAATCAAAATTATATAAGGACATTTTAGAATTTAGCTTTGGAAGCCAAATTAAAAGCAAAATCAAATTAAACAAAATGAAACGAAAGCGGGTGGGCGGGGCCAATCATTGCTAACATAAGACTTATTTTGGCAGATAACATATCCTCTGAGAAAATAGGGGGTGGGTGGGCGGGGCTAGTACTTGCTAAGATAAGACTTATTTTGGCAGATAACATATCCTCTGAGAAAATAGGGGGTGGGTGGGCGGGGCTAGTACCTGCTAAGATAAGACTGATTCTGCCTCTATTAATCTTATAAAAACTTGTTAAATTTAAAAGGTGTTACATTGCAAATTTCCATATTAACGAGATAAATAAATTTGTTTATTTTTTATGTTTCATTCTACTTCAATAGCGAAGGAAGTTCTGTTGAAACAACTTTGGACCAATTTTTTTTATTCTATGGTTGAGGTTTTGTGTGGGTTTTGAGTAGTTGTGTTACCGTACCTAAGTAATTAAGTACCTCAGGGCCTAAATTAATGTGCACTTCTACACATTTTGTGCAGTTCGAAAATGCATTTGTGCAGCTGGAAATTGCAATTTGTGGAGCAATTTTTTCACATTATTAATATTTTTACTTCCCGAGCGTAAGCTACCACTACTGACGCCGGTTCATCCCTTCACCGAAAAGAATCGAGGAATTTTTATGATTTTGTTTGTCAAGTTGGGACCTCAAGAAACGCCAGATGTGCTATTTTCGCTCTGTCACGTACCTGCTTAACAATAATACTTGTCTCAGTGATTTCGAAAAAGTGCACAACAAAAATTTATCAGTCGTAATTGCGGAGTCGTACTGCCTTCACAGCTGTTATCACTTTGGTTTTTTCTTGCATTGGTAATGCGCTGTGACTAATTTTCTTTTGTGCTATGACAAGTATTATTTACGTTATTGGCGTCATCACAAATTTTTTATTGATCCAATTAAGAACGTGTCACCCCATTTTCTCAAAAATATGAGAATACGCAAGTAATTATGAAAAATGTAAAGTAATAATGACAAAATAAGAATTATAATAATAAATTTCAGAACATTTTGTTCGATTGTGGCTTAATTAATTATTTTAGTCTTCTGTTTTGGGAAGACAACACACAAACTTTGGTGATGTACCTTTAAATAGTGATATATGTATGTATTAATAGTGTCGGTATAATGCCTGTTTTACATTTTTGTTTATATCTTTATAATATATTTGCGTTTTACTATTATTTATTTATTATTAAGGTGTAGGTATTCTCACAAAATCGACAAAATCATTTAATGTGGGGGGGGGGGGGGGGGGGTAGAAGTAGTATTGAGGACACAAGGGGAATTATTGGGATTGTGCAGTTGGAAATTTTCCTTAATTTAGGCAGTGAAGTACCTAGATAAATAAAAATAATATATGTAATTTGGCTTTCAGTGGATAATGGAAGGTGAAAAAGTGCTCACAGACTTGCTGAAAAACGATCTAGAGATTGCGAATTTAGTGTTATCGCAGTCGCAAAAAGAAATCGAGTTATTGAATGTACAACATGAAAATGAGTTATTGAAAGTCCAACATGAACATAAACATGAACATAAACTGGGAAGTTAATATGATATTAATATTAAGTTTGGTAAATAAAATTAATAATTATAGAGAATAAAGAATAAATAAATAAATAAAAATAAAATTGTTGACTATTTAATGGAAATATCCATTATTGTCTTTTAGAGAGAGGCAAACTGGGAGGTGTGAAAAACACACGAAAAAATTTATTTAAGAAAATTTGTAAATATGTTCGGAGTAAAATATGTAGAAGAAGTACTTTAGTGCCGTTCAACGATTAAATAAATTGGAATAAACTCGCCAAAACTCTGAAAACACACCCCCTTTTGAATGCAAATTTTTTGTGGTGTAATTTTGACAAAATTTTCATTGGACTAATGTATCAAATTCGACCTGACCCTCGAACTTTCTCTCCGTGTTTCACCCTTTCTAGGAAACATCGGCTAAATGTAAGCACTTCCAGGGGTTGCAGACAACCGTACGCCCGTCTACTCTGTTTAACAAAGTAGTGGCTGGTCGGGTGCACTATGTTAGGTAATTAGGGTGTTCGGTTCGCTCGTCAGTTCGTTGTTCAAATAATAAATTAACAAATGTTGGGTTAAAGGGTTAATATGCTTAAAATTTTAATTGTGAGCAAATAATCCGGCGCTGTTTGCATAAATGGAGTCAATAAAATGGACCGAACTCGGTAAACGAACTGTCTGTGCGGTTGTGGCGTTTTTCCCTGACATTGCAATAAACTTACGGAACGTCAGGAAATAAGTCGAATCAAGTGTCTGACGGTGCATTTTTGTGCAACTAGTGTTTATTGTTGCCGCAAACATGAACCCAGAATTGATTCTTCAACGCTACGACACTCAAACGAGAATACATAATTCTGTTTAATTTTTTTTTTAATTCGAGTTGATTTCAGTACATTTTGTATAATTTATTGAATCCTCTCTGGGAAGCTGATGACGTCGCCAGTTTTTTCCATTGTACTAATAATTTGTTACAATTCTTTCTTTCTAAGGTGTATTATTAATGAAATAAAATAAACAAAAAAATGTTGTCTTCCAATGTCTTCCCTTTTCTTCACAAATGGTGCTTAAGCAAGTGCTTTATTTTAGCTTTATTTTGACACTTGTTGCACTTATGCCATTTAATAATCGCCGCAGACGAGCTTGCTTTAGCTTTAAATTGGCATGTTTAGTATGCGTGCCATTTAACGTCGGCTTTGTTTACACGCTTGCTTTAGCTTTGTACGGACACATCTGGCACGCGTGCCATTTAATAGCTTGTGTCTTTGTATGAACAATTAAATTAGTAAAAGATTGTTTAAACAAATATCCTGGAAATGGTGATTAAAATAAACAGGAAAAATAAACACCCTGCAATGTATGCAACACGTAATACACTCATTGTGTACTTTCATTTATAGTGACCACAGACACTCAAAAACTAGTAGAGTAACTACTGGGACGACATTTTGAGCAAAACACCACCAGAATGATCCTTGTTTCAGAATTAATTCGAATTTCAAAGTTTTAGTTTCATTTTTATTGGAAAAAATATGTATGCAACACTTTATACACACAGACAAGCGACATATTAGATTTTAGACGATTCTATGTTTTAGACGTTAAAAATTAAATCGACGCATTCCACTCTAACAAACATGAAAATCTTCACCAGTCAGTAGAGTTGTGGAAGAAAAATTACACCCTCATTTTTGTTTTCATTCGAAATTGAACTACCTTTATACAAAATTTAGAAACTAATTGATCTTTGTAATTTACCTACATAAACCTTATTCTCATAAATACAAAACTTAAAATTAATTCCAAATTCCTAATCTTTAGTTTCACCTTCTTCATCTTCTTCTTCAGCGCCTCGTATAAAAAGCACGTTGTTACACCTAATGAGGACTTCTCCTAAATTACCTAGGAATGATTTTTATAGTACAAATAAACACTCAATTGTAACACTTACCAGTCATGCTACCCTCGATATACTCTTCAGTATTGGCTAATTGTAAATTCATGTAACCATCGACGGATACAAGGTAACCTTTATACTCGTGCCCCCACTTTAATTTCACCATCACAGCCTTACCAGTAAGGCTATTGAGGAAGGGTTTGGGGTTAATGGGCATCGCCGTCGACATGGTGGCGATTTGTACTTAAATAACTCAAAAATAACAAAACGTTCAACAACGCTAACCGGCGCGCTTTGAGGTTAGTTCTTTGTTGACGCGCTGAAACGTCACTTGTCAATTGTCACTGTATGTCATTGTCAACGCCACTAAAATGCCTAAAATAGATTCCGATAATTTTCGTCACTTCGGATTTCGTCATTTTTTTAATAAAAACACCCGAACTGATAATACTGGTGTATTTGCGTACAAAGACTACTTCTACAACGTTAACAATAAATAAATGCAGTGGAATAAACAACAAATTTAACAATAGTAATAAGTCGGCGCTCAATTTTAGCGAAACTAAAATTCGCTACCAACCCAACGGCCTCAAATCCAAAATTAATAAAAATCGACATCAGTCAATTTCCTTTGACATGTGATATTTACATAAGCCTAAAATGCGACAAACCCCATAAACACGGTGCAATTAAAAGTAAGTACCCTAGTAGTAATCCGGGACGGGGGCGCACGCGATTTTCACGAAATCCGCATATCGGACCATGCTATTATTATTAACGTTGGCCTCCCTAAAAATGCGGTCGACTTCCTTCGCCGACAAACACTCGCCCCAATTTTGCAGCATATGACGCAACTGCTTGGCCGGAATGACCCCTTTTGCCTCGGGGTCCCCGGCCTTGAACGCGTCCACCACCTCCTTGGGGAGGTTCTCAACCCTGGAGTGGACGTGCATGACCTCGAGAAAGTCGGCGAAGGTCATTTTGCCGCCCTTCTGCTTGAAGTAGCCGGCCAGTTCGGAGATCGTGGGGGCGAGCCCCAGGCTTCGCATTATCACGGTGAGCTCGTCCAGGGATTTGATGTGGCCCGAACGGGCGAAGAGGTAGAAGCATTCTCGGAATTCTGGAAACAATGGGGAGATAAAGCGGGACGGGTCAAGGGGGCTGCTTACCGTCGATGTCTTGCTCCTTGAAGTAGCGGGCCTGAAACGGGGGACAATTAACAATGTTAATTAGTTGGTAGCGTGATGTTTACCATTTTTTGGAGGTTCTTTGTTTGATTTACACGTCAGGTGTGAATATCAAGGTGAAACTAGGTGAAAGTACAGTAACGTCATGAGATTTGGCACAAATCGCGACTACTTCATTGGCGGATTATTTGATGATGGGGGCACTTAATGCGTCGCATTGAGATAAAAACATCGAGATATTACGTAGATCCACGGATTATAATTATTGTTATTATTTTTTTTTTTTTGAAAAAGCTCGTAATTTGGGTGTCTCTGGCTCAGGGATGACTCTGTATTTAATAATAAATAAAGTTATGCAACAGAATCGCTTCGTCATTTGTGATAGTCGTTATCACGGCTCGTTAGTTACTGTAAAAGAGTCTCGAATTAAAAAAGGTAACAAACTTTGACCCCTGGCACTTCATGGTTGTTTTTATTCGCGTTGAGGCGTTTTTGCGACACTTCTTAGCACTGTTCTTCCATTCTAGTGAAGCCAATAATGCCTTGATCTAGTCTTCCGAAAAATGGCTCCCCCAGGCCATGACCCCCTCGAAAAACCACTGAGCAATTCTCAAATAGTCCTAACTAGTCTGTGTGCCGGTGCTATCGCGGGGGCTCTAGCGAAAACCACGATCGCCCCCTTAGACCGAACTAAAATCAACTTCCAGATAAGGTGAGTGTTGCGTCTGACGCGCAGTTTTATTAATAGAATTTTAATGCCGAAATTTCAGCAACAAACCGTACTCGACGCGGAAGGCTTTAAAATTTTTGGTGCAGACGTACAGAGAGCAGGGCTTCCTGGCGCTATGGAGGGGCAACAGCGCCACTATGGTCAGGATAGTCCCCCATGCCGCCATTCAGTTCACTGCACACGAACAGTGGAAAAAAATTTTAAAAGTGGACAACAACAAATCGCCGCGGAGGCTGTTTTTGGCGGGCTCTCTGGCGGGGGCCACGTCGCAGACACTCACTTACCCACTTGACGTGGCGAGGGCTCGAATGGCGGTGACCCACAAGAACGAATACGCCACACTAAGACAAGTTTTTTATAAGATACTCCACGAAGAGGGAATTGCAGCTTTTTACAAGGGGTACGTTCCGACAATAGCGGGCGTCGTGCCCTACGCGGGGGTGTCCTTCTTCACTTACGACACGTTAAAACTGGTATACAGAGGTGAGGCAAAATTTGAGTCTCACTATGTTTTTGAAAATTTTTTTGAAGATTACACAAAGTTGGATAGGAACGCCACTTTAAACCCTTTAATTTCGCTGAGCTTTGGGGCTGTGGCGGGAATGCTGGGACAGTGCAGCAGTTACCCCCTAGACATTGTAAGGAGAAGAATGCAGACTGATACTCAAGGACAATACAAGTCAATACGGGCCACAGTTAAGATTATTTATAAGTTTGTGTAAGTTTACGCGTTTCGTGCGATTATTAATTTTGTTTTGTTGTAGAGAGGGCATCATCGGCGGCTTCTACAAAGGTCTATCCATGAACTGGATCAAGGGCCCCATCGCCGTAGGCATAAGCTACTCTAGTTATGATAACACTAGAAACCTATTACGCCAACTAACTGTGAAATGCAACAATAGAAAGTTTCTGTAGGCATAATTTTATACACGAATATCTGTTATCGGAGTGTTGTTTATGTACCTAGCTTTATACAATTTATTTTGTTATACGTTGAAAAAAATAAAATAATTGTGAGGTTATGTCACTTGAGTGTGTTTGAACCACCCGCTTCGTCGCGTTTCGCGATTGGTGCCCCTCCCCCGTCGCAAAAATCGCAAAAGTCACGCGCACGCATCCCTCACTTCCATTCGTCCGCCTCCTGTCAATTGTCAATCAATCTTCAAAATGGCAGTCGCCTAGTACTTCGTCGCACGCTAGATAACGTGTTTTTTCATAAACCCTCTGAACCTCGTTCTAGTAAATGGTCATTTCGCCGCTCCCGCTTGGCCGCAACCGCCCCCAGAACCGCGTATAACAGGTCAGTTGAAAAATCGCGCTTCGTGCTGTGTAAACAAGACATCGGCCATCCCGCTTCCTGGCGACCTTGACTCTCGCTTATTTAAATATTGGCTTTGTGGCTTCGCAGATCAACCATGTCGCTTTGGGCAAAAGCTCAGCAGTTGCCCCCCGACAGCCTGCAGCAAATCCGGTCCATCTACGGCGACCACTTCCCCATAGAAGTGCGGCACTACTTGGCCCAGTACATCGAGGAGAAGTTCTGGTCGGAGATCGAGCCCGTGCCCGAGAACCCCCAGCATGAGCAGTACGTGGCGGGGCTCGTCAGCGCGCTCATCCAGGAGGTGGAGAACAAGGCGGCGGTGGTCAACGATCCCGAATGCTTCCTGATCAAGCTGAAGCTGGCGGAAGCCGCCAAAATGTTCAGACAGAGATACAGGTTTGTGTGTTTAGTGCTTCGTCACGCGTTTCTATTCATACTTTTGGAATTTGCAGCGCCAACCCGATGCAGCTGTTTTCGTACGTCCGGCAGTGTTTGGCTACGGAGATGCGACTGGTGCAGGCCGCCAACGGGGAGGCGTTGTCGGGGCTGTCTAATTTGATGATCTCCAACTCGGGGACGGAGGTGTTGCACAAGATTGATATCTTGCGGCGACGGACGCAGGTAAGCGGTGAGAGGGTCGACGTAGCTTTTTTTAAGGGGCTATTTAAGGATACTGCCGATGATTTGAGGCGGATGGAGCAGGAGCAAGAGGCGTTTGCTTTGCAGTATCATGAGTGCACAAAAATTAACGGTGAGTGGAAAAATTGTGTTTGGGTGAATAACAGGGCGGATCACTTATCAGTCGGATTAAGCTTGCATTGTATAAATAAACGGTTTATGACTGATAACGATTGCAAGCGTTGTGGAGAAGCTGGGTGTGAAATATTATTCCGTTAAAAATTATCATATTGGCGCCTTTTTTGTTTGTGTTTTTTAAAATAGTTTTACTACTAGAAACTACGTTAATTTCCAGCGCACATACAACAGTTGTCTAATCAACAACCAGCAAACGCGCAAGCGACGGCCACTGTACAAAAATTGACGCGTCAGAAGGAGATGCTTGAACAAGTCTTAAACCAAAAGGTAGAGTTTGCTAAATTTGAGTACACTCGAGTCAGGCTAGGTGAAATTGATCACAAAAAAAAATAGTTTTGGAAATTGATTATAAATTATTCACGTTTTTTTTAAGACGAAAATAATGTAAAAGTCGAAGACAACACAAATATACAGGGTGTATTATAAAAGTGAACACAATTTTAAATATTGATACAGGTTTTTTCCCAAAAAGTCTAGTAACAATTGAAATTTAATTTTAAAATTTATGTTGGCAGCACTAACGCGTTCCTTTTCGGTTTGCAAAAGTTCGTTGACCGTTTTCGGCAGATCTTAATACGGGGATTATTATCTAAAGCTTGCTGATTTGTACCCTTCAACAAAATTCAAGTGGCGGTTTTTAAAGCGACTGTAGGATTACAATCAAAACGTTGATTCTTGTCAAATAATATTTACAACCGAGGTCGTGGGTAGCTGAGTAGGGTAGGATTAAATACAGTAGCACAGAAGGACGACTCTGAAACAGGTAAAAAGGGATCGACTTATCCTTCCTGTCATAAATCTGCATGAGTAATCCCTTACCTAGATTTATTACCTGTTTCTACAGTAAGTACTCGCTTTTGAGAAAGTAATTACGGGGAAAACCTCTGAAATTCCATCAGCTAAGTCACTTAGTCATTAGTGAATTTATTTTCTGTGTTTATTAAGTGCTCATTTGTATAAAACTTGGGTTTATACCTTAGACTTGTTTTATAACTTGTGGTTTATGAATCCGCGTTGATTTACAATCTAAATTGTATAACATTTTATAGTGAACCAAGAGTAATAAGGTTATATGACCATCATAAAAGTAGTTGACCGCAAATAAATACTCCCTTTGTGTGGTTCGCACTAAGCTTACCGGTTGGCAATAAATCATCTTCTAAACATTTCTTGCTCATATTTAACAGGGCCGGCTTTCAAAGCGAGTGGTTATTTCGGAACCCTCAGCGGCTGCAGGTTGTAAAGAAATAGTGGAGTGGTGGATTTTCATATTTAGTGAAAGCCGTCCCTGAACGAAACCACAAGAGCCGGTCGAGCTGCAGTGGACACGTTATTTACGACCCTAAAATCTTTTCTATTGTAAACAACTTAACTTCGACACAATGGGATGATTTTATGATGGCCATATAACCTTATAGCTCTTGGTTCACTATACAATTTAACTTTGAAATTGAAAAACCGAATGCTCTGAAATTTTGTAAACCTTTTAAGGTTTTCGTAAGGATGGTAAATCGTCAATCAAAATGTTTTCGTTGAATAAATGTTCTTTAAATTTAAATAACATACTTCGGTATCGTGTCCTTAAGTTTAACATTTTTCTACAGTAGGGTGGCGCAAAAAACGACTTTTTTGTGTTGAGTCTCGTGTAAAAATATGTTAGTTTATCAGATTTCCTTTTTGTTTAATTTTGTTTTTCTCGTTTCGGTCATATTTTATAGACGAAGAAAAAAACAAGTTTCCCAAGTTTGTAGCTCAAAATACGAGTAATTGTTAAAGGTCGCTCATAATTTTTTTAGATGTTTTCGAGCGACTTTTTGATAAAAATCAAACACTACTGGAAATATATTTTTTTAATAACTCGATATTTTTATGTGAACAATTACAACATTTTAACAACATTTAAATTAACTTTGTTATAAATTCTGAAAACAAATTGCAAATTTATACAATTTCTTCTTTTAATTCTAACCACTAATTTTATTTATGTTCAGTATAAGATCCACGTTTCACTCAGAGCAAATAACGTCAATTACTGAAATGGAGACGGGGTGGGTGGGCGGGATTAATTATAATTTCTTCCGTAGAGTGGGAGTGGGAACTAATAAAACCTAGGCCGTAAAAAAATTTGTCCGTTTATGCCCCTCCCCAAACATGACGACGTCATGCTGCAATGCAATGTTGCAGTGAAAGAGAGACGAGGTGGGTGGGCGGGGTTAATTATATTTTCTTCTGTAGAGTGGAAGTCGTAACTAATAAAACCTAGGCCGAGAAAAAAGTAACAGGAAAACGCTAATCGTAACCTTTTTTATGCGCTATAATGTTTTTTCTTATTTCATAAGAAAAAAAATGAGAAAACGGGTGGGTGGGCGGGGCTAATTTTAACTTTGTTCAATTGAGTTTTTTTATAGGCAAGCAGTATTTATAATTTAAGTTAAACAAGTACATTGATATTAATACTTTTTATTGTTAGTTAGCTATTTTAAATATGTATTTCAGTCTTATCTTAGCAACTACTAGGCCCGCCCATCCGCCCTCTTCTCATTCCAAGGACTAATTTTATTTCTGTTCAGTAATAAGGTTCACCTTTCACTTAGAGCAAAATTTTTTTGTTGTACTATTTGCTAAATATTTATTTCTTAATTCAGAAGAAAAAATGGGAGAACAGGTGGGTGGGCGGGGCTATATTTAACTTTTTTCTGCAGTCTTTTTATAGACAATCAGTCTTTATAATCGTAAGTTAAACATGTACACTGATATCAATACTTTTTCCCCGTTGGTTACCTAGTTTAAATATATATTTCAGTCTCATCTTGGCAAGTACTAGCCCCGCCCACCCGCCCTCTTCTCATTCTTACGACTAATTTTATTTCTGTTCAGTTAAGAACCACCTTTCACTTTGAGCAAATGACATCAATCACTGAAATAAAGGCGTGGTGGGTGGGGGGGGTTAATTAAACTATTTCTTCTGTGGAATGGAAGTGGGAACTAATAGAATTTAGGCCGTAAATAAGTAAAAAAAAAAAAAATACGAATCGTAATTTTTTGTTGTTGTTCCATTTGCTATAAAATTTATTTCTTACTTCAGAAGAAAAAAAACCGGGTGGGTGGGCGGGGTCGAGTTTAACGTTTTTAATTTAAGCTAAGCTACCCTGATATTAATACTTTTTCTCGTTGGTTGCCTACTTTGAATATATAATTCAGTGTTATCTTGGCAAGTACTAGCCCCGCCCACCCGCCCTCTTCTCATTCTTACGACTAATTTTATTTCTGTTCAGTTAATATCCACCTTTCACTTTGAGCAAATGACATCAATCACTGAAATAAAGGCGTGGTGGGTGGGCGGGGTTATTTATACTTTTTCTTCCGTGGAATGGAAGTGGGAACTAATAGAATTTAGGCCGTAAATAAGTAAAAAAAAATACGAATCGTAATTTATTGTTGTTCCATTTGCTATAAAATTTATTTCATACTTCAGAAGAAAAAAAACCGGGTGGGTGGGCGGGGCCGAGTTTAACGTTTTTAATTTAAGGTAATCATATACACTGATATTAGTACTTTTTCTCGTTGGTTGCCTACTTTGAATATATAATTCAGTCTTATCTAGGCAAGTACTAGCCCCGCCCACCCGCCCTCTTCTCATTCTTACGACTAATTTTATGTCTGTTCAGTAAAGATCCACCTTTCACTTTGAGCAAATGACATCAATCACTGAAATAGAGACGTGGTGGGTGGGCGGGGTTAATTATACTTTTTCTTCTGTAGAATTGAAGTGGGAACTAATAGAATTTAGGCCATAAATAACTAAAAAAAAAAAATACGAATCGTAATTTCTTGTTATTGTTCCATTTGCTATTAAATTTATTTCTTACTTCAGAAGAAAAAAAAAACCGGGTGGGTGGGCGGGGCCGAGTTTAACGTTTTTAATTTAAGCTAAACATATACACTGATATTAATAAGTTTTCTCGTTCGTTGCCTACTTTGAATATATAATTCACTCTTATCTTGGCAAGTACTAGCCCCGCCCACCCGCCCTCTTCTCATTCTTACAACTAATTTTATTTCTGTTCAGTTAAGATCCACCTTTCACTTTGAGCAAATCACATCAATCACTGAAATAAAGGCGTGGTGGGTGGGCGGGGTTAATTATACTTTTTCTTCTGTGGAGTGGAAGTGGAAACTAATAGAATTTAGGCCGTAAATAAGTAAAAAAAAATACGAATCGTAATTTTTTGTTGTTGTTCCATTTGCTATAAAATTTATTTCTTACTTCAGAAGAAAAAAAAACCGGGTGGGTGGGCGGGGCCGAGTTTAACGTTTTTAATTTAAGCTAAACATATACACTGATATTAATACTTTTTCTCATTGGTTGCCTACTTTGAATGTATATTTCAGTCTTATCTTGCCAAGTACTAGCCCCGCCCACCCGCCCCCTTCGTGTTCTTACGACTAATTTTATTTCTGTTCAGTTAAGATCCACCACCTTTCACTTTGAGCAAATGACATCAATCACTGAAATAAAGGCGTGGTGGGTGGGCGGGGTTAATTATACTTTTTCTTCTGTAGAATGGAAGTGGGAACTAATAGAATTTAGGCTTTAAATAAGTAAAAAAAAAAATACGAATCGTAATTTTTTGTTGTTGTTCCATTTGCTATAAAATTTATTTCTTACTTCAGAAGAAAAAAAAACCGGGTGGGTGGGCGGGGCCGAGTTTAACGTTTTTAATTTAAGGTAAACATATACACTGATACTAATACTTTTTCTCGTTGGTTGCCTACTTTGAATGTATATTTCAGTCTTATCTTGGCAAGTACTAGCCCCGCCCACCCCCCTCTTCTCATTCCTACGACTAATTTTATTTCTGTTCAGTTAAGATCCACCTTTCACTAAGAACAAATAACATCAATCACTGAAATAGAGGCGTGGTGGGTGGGCGGGGTTAATTATACTTTTTCTTCTGTAGAATGGAAGTGGGAACTACTAGAATTTAGGCTTTAAACAAGTAAAAAAAAAAATACGAATCATAATTTTTTCTTGTCGTTCCATTTGCTATAAAATTTATTTCTTACTTCAGAAGAAAAAAACCGGGTGGGTGGGCGGGGCCGAGTTTAACGTTTTTAATTTACGGTAAACATATACACTGCTATTAATACTTTTTCTCGTTGGTTGCCAACTTTGAATATATATTTCAGTCTTATCTTAGCAAGTACTAGCCCCGCCCATTCGCCCTCTTCTCATTCTTACGACTAATTTGATTTCTGTTCAGTTA